CACAATGCAGTACCACCAATGGTGAGGAGCAAGGTAGCAAGAGAAGGAGGGGATTAAATTAAAATGGATTTGGGGGGGAACACCAAAAATGTAACCACTGGATGTTAATATAGCAAATAGTTAAGCAGTTGATTGAGGTTAATTAATTGACTGGATGGATATGAAGGGGTGCAGGTGGTATTGGTGTATGGAAGAGCTGTAAAACTGAATAGGAGGGTTCTTGTAGTGCAGTGATAGTGTCTCTACCTCTGATCCAGAAGGTAGAGTGCAAGTTCGAGTCCCATCTGCTCCAGAGGTGTGTAGTAACATCTCTGAACAGGAAAATCATAGCTAAATGGAATGAAAATATAGACAGCTCTTGCGGTTATACCAGACAACAGGAATTGGGGAACTATACTGGAAGAATAAACTCCAGGAAAGCCCAGTATATGGTTAACAGGTGCTTTAGATATGACTTGAAAGACTACTACATAATGTGCAATGAAATTTCCTAAATGGAATACTAAGGTTTGTGAAGTTGTGCATAGCACAAAAGGTTTGGAAAAAGAACACGGTGATACTGATCAGGCAGAGGAAATTGTACTATTTACAACAAGCATTAGCTCAGTAATGCAGTTATAGACTCATTCATTTACGCTGAGTTAGTCATTAAGTGCATGAACACAGTATATTGAGTGGATTGGTTAAAATATTACCCAGATTCTTTAAATATTATGAGAAAGAAGTTTAAGGACTGTAAGAGTTCTACCTGCTTTAGGTTTGGTAATGTGAGACATAACTCAAAAATGGATGGGGACTAGACTGGGGATACTGGCTAGAATCTAAACGACAATAGTAGTGAATTTGCCAAATTACCTAGTTAGAGTTATGTGTGAAAATCTGAACATTGTGGTAATGACCACAGCAATGGAAAGTTCCTTCATTAATGAAGTGCGTGAAAGAAATCCTATGGAAGTAGATGAGATGCTTGATAAAATCCTTGCCGACCAATCGAATTGTAAGTTAATACTTGCCCTGACATAGGCACAGGATCTCACTTCACATGATTGAGAACTATTGTCCATATCATCGGGAGAAATCCAAAAGTTCTTTCAGTAAGCAATGATCCCAGACTTGAAAAGGTATCAGAATTAGCTTTCATTTTTTCTAAGCACTTGAATGCCCTGTGTGCAGGGAGAGATGCACTTATTAAGTGTGAGGTTTAAGAGAAAATTCAGCGAACCTTGCAGCACCATATAAAGTCATCAGAAATACATTCTAATCCACGGGACGTGGTATAGTATGAAGAAGAATGGCTGAGTCAAGTTATAGGTAATGCTGGAGAAACAGTAATTTTGCATTATGGTAATCAACCTGTTAGAGTGTATTCCCCTTACAAAATTTTGTGATCCCTGTTGCCATTACTAGGCAAGTAGGTCCCAAACTGAAATCTGGCTTGATAGATCATATTTTCTTTTATTTTTAGTTGAACAGAAACACATGCATGCAACGCTGCACATTTGGTTTTAACAATAAAATGGCAGTTTATTAAACACTAGAAATTAAAATCAAAATCAAATAAAGCAAACCTATAATACAAATTTAAAGATTTCACAACACACAGTGAAATACAAGCCTATTCATCTCAACAGCACTCATGTAAAGTACTTATACCTGAGGCAATTCACTTCTCTATCACCAGTGTAGGGCTTACTAAACTGTGGCTTCAATTTGCAATCTTGCGAATCTGATAGCTTCTTCCTCGATTCTTCATCCAGTTGAGCTTAGATTTTCTCATCTTCAGGGTTCAGAGGTGACCCCTTCAGGGTTTTAACCTAACTCATCTGGCCCATAATTATGCTCCTTAAACTGAGGTAATCTAATAACAGTTCTAAACTATCTCCCTTCTTCAGGAGCAACTGCCTTATACATCCAGCTTCAGCCAAGACTTCTGCAAAAGTAAATTCGAAAGGGTTTTCTTCAGCTATAGGTTTTTCCATTAAACCAAGAAAAAAATAAAAGATCCCTATCTAATTGTTTACTCTATTCACTTATAAAGCTTAGTTAATAACAACAAAATCCCATTATTCTGCAGGAGATCTCTGTCTCTCACTTTGTACTTTAGAAGAAACCACCATGGCTACAGAAATACTTACAATTTAATTATTAAATCCCTTCATAGGCACAGACTAAACCTACATTGTAGTAGTTAAAAATCTAAACCCTAAAATAAATGGTATTATTATATATAAATAAATAGCACACCATATCACAATCTGAACAAGTCACAGACATCAGAAAGTGATGCGGCACAAAACACTTACATTCACATATGTTGTACAATTGAGAATCAGATTCTGACAAATGAATGGCTGACTGAATATGGACAAAGTGATACAAAGACAACAGACAAGGCTATTCGACCAGATGACAATGACTTAGAGTTGGCACTGAAGTAACATATATGCCAGAAGGGACCAGTGAATGGAGAAATTCCACCATTGTAAGAAAAGCAGCGAAAGCCACTTGAAAATGGAAACATTGGCTAAATGTGCAAGATGAGGGATAGGAACTTACCTCCATGGATTAAAAAAAAATATAAAAATGTTGAAGTCAGAAAACATAGTTTGTGTTCTGAAAGTGGATCTCAAAGTGAACGTGGCACTAGGAAAAAGCTGTGAGCTGACAGAAGTGATTCTGATCACAGGAGGATGAGAGCTTACAGTCTTGAACAAGATACAATGGCAAATATAATTGTTGTTTGACAAGAACAAGAATGATGGAACAGGCTGGAAATACCATGAGAAGTAGAAGCTTAGGAGATAAGTTGGTAAAGAAAACCAACAGAAAGAGTTGGAGAACTAGAAAAAATTTAGTGTTATACACTGAGGTGCCAGAGAGTAGACAGGCAGCCTTATCATTTAGATGGATATGTGCGGAAAAATGTTCCGAAGATGGGACAGTTAAGGCCAAAGCCAGACAAGTCACTCATAGTTTAAAATAAAAAATTGGTAATCAAGATGTTGGAATGGATTTCCCTGACAGAAAATGTCTTCTTGAAAATCTGCTTAGCTGTTTTAGCAACATACTGTTCGGAATGCAAGTCAATCAGTTTAAAAGCTTCAATTTTAGCAGGGAGAAAAATTTCAAAGGGAAATATTTCAAAACCACCTAAAGAGGCAGATGAGGGAAAGCAATGGAAATTAAACAGATGTGTTTCTGTGTCGAATGCCCCAGTGAGGCTCTGGTATTTCTCAGTTTAGGTTTGTCTAGCTGAAAGTGGATTGATTTCAGCTTAAAGCTGACACAGCAATGTTCTGAAGAAGTATCATTCTGAACTCGAAACATTAACTCTGTTTCTCTCTCTACAGATGCTGCAAAACCTGCTCAGTTTCTCAAGCACTTCCTGTTATTATTCCAGCAGTGTTCTATTGGTATCACAAAGAGAAATTTCCAGGCAATTTTATGGTACATGTTGATGATTTTCTGTGATGAGGTTCTGCAGAATTTGAGTGGTGTGTGATAGGTATAGTGAAAAGTGAATTTAAGATTGGAAGCTGGGCTTCTAGGGGTCTTCAAAAAGTAGGGTTAGTCTTTAAGCAGAATAAGTTTGGAATGACTTTTGATCAACTGGCTTACTTGTAAAGTGTTAATCACGTTCTGATAAATCAAACCAGGCTCTCACAAAAGGATGATTTTACATCTAGAGAAGAACAGGCCAGTTAAGAAGTTGGATTGGAGTTAAACTGGTTGTACGGTCAGCCTAGACCCAATGCCAATTTTGATGTATTCGAACTGAGTACTATGATGAAACAAGCTACTATTGAGGAAGTCTTTGCAGCTGTACATGATCCAGAGGATAGGAAGTTAATCCTTATTGGCGAGGCTTCACCTGCTAGTCTTCCAGATTACTATTCAACTATGGCAGAGTTTTACATGTTCTTGGTTTCTTGGAGAAATCTTATACAATGGGGCAATATGAGTAAAGTTTGCCCACAGAATGTTATGTAGATACCTTTTCTCTGTGGGACAATGAACATTAAAGAAAGGGGAATTGCTTAAAAAGGTTAAGAATTGACCTTGCTGGCATGAAGGAAATGTTAGAAAAAGAGATTACTTTAAAAAAAGGTAGATGCAAATCACTGCTTATCAGATTCTTTCACAAAAAAGGTGTTTTTTGCCAAGAAATCATTGGCATCCTCGAAGACAGGCACTTGGTGGTATTGGGAGTTAAAAGAACATTTCAAAAAATAAATTTTTGTTTGGTTTTCTTTGTTATCAAGTTTTTTTTTATTTTAAATAAAGAAGTGGAAGAATGGAAGTTTGATTATATCATATGGAATATGAAAATATGTTACTGTTCAGTTGAATAATTAAAAATTATAGAATAGTAAAAAGTTAATTGTTGAATTTTCAGTAGTATTATTCAAAGATTGTTTGTTTGCATTCAATTTAATTTGAAAATGAGGGGAATCAAATGTGTGTAATAACATCTCTGATCAGGTTCATTGGAAAATATCTAAAACCAAGTAGTTAGAACTCTTGTGACACAGTGGTAGTGCCTCTAACTCTTGGTTACACGACCCAGCTTCTAGTCCCACCTGCTCTGTGTTAAATTCAATGCATGTCCGACTGGGTTGTTTTTTTTTTAAAAAAACAAATAAAGTAGAGAGGATCATTCCCACAGCGTTTGAATTATGAAGCCAATGTGTTATGTTAAACTTATTCAGAATGAAGGTTAGACCATACTTGGAATACTGTGCACAGTTCTCATCTTCATATTACAAAAAGGATATAGAGGTATTGGGGAAAGTGATTTTAAAAAATTACAAAAATGTTACAAGAACTGAGTAGTTAATAAACTCTATCCGCAGCGAAAGATGTCTTGTTTCTGTTTCACAACTGGCTTGGATCCAGATTGACATTAGATGGGTGCTACTGGTCTATTTTGTTTTCATGTCTAACTGAATCCTACAAACAGAAAGAACTGAAATGATAACCAAGGATATCTGTTTCAATAGCAACACTATGAAGTACCAATCGCTATGAAAGCTGTGTTCAATTTGATTGACACCTTCACAACAAGAATCAAGGAGATGGAGAAACAGAAGAGAGATGGCACTCCATGCAAGAAAGAAGATAAACCTAGATCATTGGAAAATTTCTTATCCAGGTATGTGTGATTTTAAAACTAAAGAGTAATACAAATGAAACACATTTGTTTGTATTCACATTTTAAAGTGCTTTTCTGTTGCTGAATTATTTGCCTCCTGCTCTCTGATCACTATTGTGCCTCATACTTTTATATTTGGTACCAGTCACATTTGACCTAGTGTAAAAATGATTATGTTACATCTTTGCGCAGTCACTATGAAATTATATTTTGGAATTATATTTACTCAACACATGACTTGAACGCTGATTTCATCGGGCTGAATCTCAATATTTTTGGCAAAGTATGAGTTGGATCAGGATTTTGGAAGGTCTTCCAGCCATGAGACCAAGTGAGGTCTTTCACCATATCTTACCAAACTCGCCTCATTAACTATCCACACTGCCTCTATGACAGCCATCACATCCAATTCCAGCCCCATGTTATTACATGTCATTTCCAGAATAACTCACCACTCGGCAGACAGCCACTGGAAAATCAGCATCTCTTGAATCTGTGCCATCTTTAAAAGTTGCTGTACACCCGGATGAGTACTTCCATTCCGAAGTTTCCCTGCTCAGTCAAGGATATTTCCAGAAGATGTCTGAGAGGGGAAGCGGCACTAGAATTTTCCAATGGGGTCCTGGAGGTCCAGGTCGAGGGGGGTGGTACAAAGGAGAGGAGTCCTCTTCCTGGAAAACCAGCAGACGAGGTCATTGCCAGCTGACCCTGGGAACCTGATCTGAGGTTGCCACCCGCGTCAGTGTCATATCCAGGGGGTGGAGGATCCAGCAGAGTGGCATAAGAAGGTCATTGATCTTCTCCATTATGCCAGGGTAAGTGCTACGTTCTTCTCTCTGCTCCCTGTATCTCTGCTACTGCACTTACCTCCCTCCAAGGCTCAATGAAACGCGCGTCATCTTCCCTCACTCGTTGTCTTCCCTCACCCATTGTCAATCCCCTCTAATCTCCCATATATCATGCTGGAAATTGAAAATGTGCAATGGAAAAGCAAATGGCTCACAGGGTAAGTGTCTCGACCTAAGGGATCGAGGTAGTGCTTTGCCATACAACAGGATGTATGCTGTCTTGCTTGAGGACTGCTGATCAGAAAGGCACACTGCCTGGTTGCATGACCGTGCTAATTTGCACCACATGGCAGGGCAAGGCATGGGCTGTGTGAGTATGCAGGTAGGTATGAAGTGAACGAGCACTAGGAGAGCAAATGAGTATCCCTGAGATGCATCCTGGTCGAATCTGTGAGCTGGATCCCAGCCCATGCACATGAAGTATCTCTTGTGCAGTCTTTCAATTTTAGATGCTGGAGGGCCCTGCAAAGCAAGTCTGTGCTTTCTGACTGGTCTAAGTGGATCGGAGAGATGCCATGATTTGAAAATGCCATGCACCAATGGATGTCAACGAGGGGTGCTTGTGGCTGGTGTCTGTGGATCATACCTTGAGCTCCTGTTTGGCAATACAGAACGTAGAGATCACTGAGCAAGTGGCGAACTGAATCCACTAAGTACCCGCTCTGATATCCATGCCATGTTTAATCAACATGTAGCTAGTTTGGCACAATTGTTAGGATAGGACAATAGGCATTGAGAGTCAGTGTCAGTGTTGTGGAACAAGGAAGTCCCACAGGCATATATATTATTCAACTTATAGAAAAGAATGCTGTATCTGTCAAACTATAGGTGCCTTCTTAAAACATGCATGATAGTAAAATACATTTACAGAGAAGCAAAAGTAAATTAACTACTCATACAAAGATATTAATGTAGTAAAGCCACCAGCATTAGAAAAGATACCCAAATTGTTTGAATTGATCCAGACAATTAAGCTTTATAGAACCTGTTAAGGTCAGTAGACAGCTCATTAATTTTAAGCTTGACGCAGGGATGCATGTCATTATCTTATCAGGTCATTTATCATTGGTGAAGAAACAGAAGTTGTAGCATACCAAAGATGCAATTAAATCATTCAAGTGGAATAGCTCTCAAGATTAAAGGTACACTATAAGCTGTTGTGCAACATAAGATAGTACAGAATGTACATGCAATGCATAATCAAGAAATCTCACACTTGCATGCCTTAACCTCAACCTTCTGAAGTCACAGAAAAAGTTACAATGGACAGCAAGCAGTTCAAGAGAGATCAAAGTTGATTAGTCTGTCCAAAGACAAGGCGGTCAGAGAACACATGGTCTGGAAACAAACAGTTGTGGAAGAAACAGCAAAGGAGTGACATCCTGAACTCAAGATGGAACCCAAAACTAAGAAAGAATCTATTGAGATTAACTACAACAGCATAAAAATGTGGTTGATATGCCCAAAAAGAACCAATGCCTAGCAAGCTAAAATAGACACTAGCACATTCAACAGGAACAAAAACCTGATCTAGAATGTGCTACCATTTGCCAGTATTGTTTTGAAGGATGGTAAAACCAAAAGTCCAATTCATTGGCCAAGAACGCATATCTTGAGCACTAGCAAAATCTAACAATCATAGATGACCTGCTAGTAGTTGACAGAAGACTCATTTTTTCAGCTTCCCATCATTAAAATGTCCAGGAAAGAATACACTGTGGGCTTTTGGGCATGGCCATGTACAGCCTAGGTTCAGTTGACAGAGTGGTAGCCTGACATCCCATGACAGATTGAAGATTTCAGATCTCATTATGAAATCTGTGATTTCATAGAATTGACAGGTTTGAAAAACACTCTTGTCATCATTGAAGAAAATTTCAGATGATGGAAGTCGACAACGTTTGTTTGCAGATGAAGAGAAAGAATAAACAGTACAATACACTTGAGTTCACTGATCAATCTTTGACTCAAATTAATCAGGAATCAGCAAATCCTGGTTAATAAATGAATAGCAATTTTGAATTTGATCTCAGACATTGAAGTAACAGAGGAATATTTCAATTTTCATCTTTGCACAGATTGAAGATGAATTGCTTAAAATTCTGTAGGAGCCAACTCTTGGGTAAGATGACCAATATCCACAAATTCGGGGCATGGTCAGGAAGAAATTGCCTGGTCCAGAAACACAGGATACTTCAAAAAAAAATATCTGTTTCAACAGAGCAGCAAACTTCAGTGAAGGAAATTAGTGAGATTATAGGTCCCCCATAATGAGGTCACGTAGCAAACTTGATTCAGCAGGCAGGAGTTCCTCAGAAAGAAATTCAGGAGGTTAAGGGAGCTCCCAAGAAGGTAATTGACTAATGACTTGGTTTAGCATTTCTGCTATAGTAAGAATCACAAGTACTGCGATTGCTGGAAATCTGAAATAAGAACAAGAAATCCTGGTGGTTGTCAATGGGGTCTGGCAACATCTATTGAGAGAGAAATAGAATTTACATGTTGGTTCCAATATATCTATTTTTCTGTCACTCTCTGTTGATGGCAGGAGCTACTGAGCAAACACGGCCTAGGCCAGAATGGTTTTCACTTGCTTTGTTTCTTTTCATCAGATTCCGTTGGAGGAGACGTTTATTTATTATTTCTACCCCCACTGATGAAGAATGGGCTTATCAACATCAGCTTTACGCCTTAAATTCACAAGCTTGCAACCTAGGTATGATTCAGCGTCTTTACAATATATATAACCTTCTATTCCTCAGAAGAGAGCCTCTAGGAATGTATAACTGTTAATATTCTAAGAATTTTGTTACCTAATCACAATTTGTTTTATTCAGAATGGAAGAAAGCACACAGTTAGTTCTTTTGCAACTTATAGGAATCAGCCCAAAATGTTTGTAGAAGAACAATTTGAGTAAATGCTTAATCCCTGTTCTTGTTCCCAGTAGAAAATAGTTTGTAAGGTACAATGCAGTTCACCCTACAGAACCTTCCTCCATGAAGAAAAAATTAGCTTCATTAGTAGGGCCTATCTTAAGGGGATATCTTACAGTTTTATGTGTCTTCAAATGAGAATGGCAATTAGAGGCTCCTTTGAACTGTTTACATGTTTGCAAAATGTTGTAGAATAAATACTAGAAACCATGAGCTCAATTCAATATCTGTCACAGAAATAAACAGAATGTACAGTGCAGAAAAAGGATGCTTGGTCTATGTGGTATTTATGCTCCACTCAAGTCTATTCTCTCTATTTGTCATCTAACCTTATTAGCACAACCTTTTTTGTATATCTTCCTCACATGTTTATTTGTGTTCTTCGTAAGTGTATTGATGCTGGTGCCCTCAACTACTCTTTCTGGTAGTGAGTTCCACTTTTTAAATATTCTTGATAAAAGACTCCTGAACTCCTTACTAGACTTATTAGTAACAGTCTTTTATTTATGCCCTCTAACCTGATCTCCCTCACAAGTGGATTCAGCTTCTTCTATCTACATCAATTAATTCCTGTCATAACCTTAAGAACCTCTATAAGGTCTATTGCAAAAGCGTCCCAGCCTATTTAATACTTGCTGATAATTAAAAGCTCTCATATTATCCGAGTAGCAAATCATTTTTTGTTCTTGCTTCATAGCTTTCATGTTCTTCTTGTATTTTGCATCTGAAAAGCAACATTTTTAATAGGGTGAACATTTTCTTTTAGTCATGTTTACTAGTAAATCTCCCCGTGCTTGTGCAAGAGCTTACTGAAAGAAAATGCAGAGTGAAAGTCTTCATTTTTCAGTGTTAAAATTGCAAATCAGAAAATTGAGAATTGGAACTCTGTTTAGATTATCGTTAACAATGACTTAACATATTGATCTAAAAACAAAAACACTAAAATCAGACAGTAGGTCAGGCAGCACTTATGGAGAAAAGGAACAGGTCATATTTCAGAAATAACTCTCATTAGAACTTCAGGAGTAGCTTTTATGAAGGAACGCAGAAGGGGGAAGGGCAATGTGAGTATTAATATATGCAAGGAAATGGAGAGGACCAAATCATTGCTACTGAGGTGGATAGCTGGATTCAAGGAGGTAAGGCGAGGGAGCAAGTGCAGAATACAGGTGCATTGTTAACTTTTGTTGCATTGCTACAGACGGCCACTGGTACAGTGAGTAATGAGACAGGCTGTTTAGAATGCCCACCTGAGCTCCCTGGGACTTCAGCCTTTTTGCAGTCAACACTACTAGGCTGTGAGCTCTCTACCACCGACTTCCCATTGCCACCTTCATGACAGTTGATACACCAATACAACCCCATTACCCCATAAACCCACGTCAACCTACGCTGCCCAACCACTATGTATGACTCCCACATCCTGTATGCCAACTCATGGGTCTTCCATGGCCATTCACTAAGTATACACTATGTTCATCACCAGTAAACCCTACAGCAGCAATGACCCGTTCACTACTCTTTTTTTGAAATAAATTACACTGTTACTCCTACAGCCTATAAAAGTGTGAATAAAACAGACTATTAAAGACTGTAGCAATGCAACAAAAGTAACAATGCACTTGTATTCTGCACTTGCTCCTCCGCCTTACCTCCTTGAATCCAGCTATCCACCTCAGGAGCAACGATTTGGCCCTCTCCATTTCCTGCAAGACTGCATAACAGAGGCTTAAAACACTTCACACCTCCTGATCTTGTCCAAATAACGTTTGAAACGTCAACAAAAATAATCATTGAAAGAACAATTTGTTAGGGTTGGAGATAGTAATCAAACAAAATCAGAAGGTCCATCCAGTTGTCAAAACAATCCACTGCTGAGAAGTTGAGAACTGCTGATGCTGGAGTCAAAGATAGCACAGTGTGGAGCTGGAGGAGCACAGCAGGCCAGGCAGCATCAAAGGAGAAATTTCTTCGGAAATGGGGACGGGGGAGGGGAGCTGGGAAATAAGAAGAAGGGTCCCGACCCAAAACGTCAGCTTTCCTGCTCCTCTGATGCTGCCTGGCCTGCTGTGTTCCTTCAGCTCCACACTGTGTTAGCTCTGCAGAGAAAGTCACCTTATGAATCGGGTCTGTCAACCAAACATACATAATGAAGAAAAGCGTAAGAACTGTTTCAGTGGAATGGGTGGTCTCATTACTCACACTTGACTGAGAACCCACTTCCATTGAGTTCACTGGAACAATGTGGAAGATCAAGGACAGGGGTTCTTATAGCACAATGATAGTGAGCTGGGCCTGGGCTCAAGTCCAACTGCTCCAGAGGTTTGTTATAACTTATCTGAATAGGCCAACTAAAAATATCTAGAAGGCATAGGACAGAGGTTAGAGTATAAGTGGGATGGAGAATTTCAGTGACTGGGACCTTAAGGTCAGACTTAAAGTTAGAAATTCACTTTCTTGCTGTTACTGTTTGATCCCAGGTCTGATTAATAGGGATAAATTATTCCTAAACTAGACACTTTCAAAAACGTCATCACAAGCTGTAAATCTGAGCTTAGTGACTTTTGAAAACTGTCCTGTGCTGGAAACCTCTGGTTGAGGAATTTAATGTACTGTGGTCATACAATGGGCACCAACAAGTCCAAAATAGTGAATGACATTCATACATTCCAAGCTGGAAAGATACCATCCATTATTTTGATTTAGACATCGAATGTAGAACCCGGGTGCAACCCTAAAACCAGCATTAAGCATTTGCATATGGAAATAAGCTGCTTTGCATCCATTTAATGGGCTCCTTAATACATTGCTGTGAAAAAAAAACAGATCTACAGGCAGCCTAGTCAAGAGGGACCACTTAAGTCACCTCCTCAAGGGTAAATCCTGCAATAATCATATACCATACTGTGGAGTTGTGAGGTGAGCAGATGCTCATTTCAGATCCATTTGGAAAACACTGGATGCTGGCAGCAATCAATTGCCACATTTTCTTCAGCAGCACCCCAGTCCCTTATTCCCTCATTCCCAATTGTCTTCATCTTGTGTGAGACATACTTCAGGGCTGCTACTGGCTGAACAGCAATGAGAAATTAATTTGTTCTTCATTGGCAAGATAGCTAGAGAACATGAGCAATCATCTGCAGCTCACTGTCATGTTGTAACTAAGGCCTGGGAGCCAACATCAGATCATTCCAGCCTTCAGTTCACATGGGAAGGTTGCCCAAACCAATGCCTAATTTACTAAATGTAGTTGAGAAGTGAATATGCAATTCATGTCCAGTTGGGAAGTTACAGTGTTGACCTCATGGTTTTATTCCTGTAACACATTGCGAATATATGATGTAACATACCCTTTCATGGCCTTTGACAGCCTTATATTTCCAAATATTTGCTTCTGCATCTTTTTCATTTATTTTTCTTACTTTGTTAGTGTTTTCTTTTTAGCACTTCCGTTTCCAAACTAGGCTGAGTGTGCTGAGTTAATTAGCTTATCTGGAATTTGTGAACCTAAAGAGGAAAGAGAAACATTGTAGAAACATAATAGCATAGCTTCAAGTTTTCCTTTGTAGCATTTACTTAACTAGTTGTGGTAAACATATTATTTCATAAGATTAACATGAGGATAAATCTCTCTTTTAAGGTTTACGTCATTTGGCTGTTCTGAAGTTGATGGGTGTGGGTATTGATGTTGGAGGCGTTTTGGAACTCTATCCAATTAATGGTAAGAGTACTTTCATTATGATCAGATATATTTAAAAATACTTATGCTGCTGTGAGAACTGAAATTGTATCTGGTGATGACAGCCAACATGTTCCAGTATAAACATGGCACTATTTAATAAGTAAATAATGATTGTGCCCAAAGGAACAGCTTAAGAAGCGAGAGACTTTGCAATATCGCCTGATTCTTTTATTCTCTTTACTAGTTTTTAAATACATGTTAAAGCAGTAACTGTTAATCTTCCTTCAGCAAAGATGACTTCTAAGTTTTAATTTTAAAAAATCCTTTAAATCCAATTGAATTATAATTGGTTTTGAAGAGGTGATCAAATGCAGTGTAACACTATGCATTTTGTTTTCCCTCTCATAAATGACTTTACCAGTAAGTGATTTCTGTTTCATTAGCTTGTTCCTGCATGTGCTGTTGGAAGTATGACGGATGGGGCCTGAGATGGTAGTGAGTAGGGTTTGTGTCCTTATAATGACCATTAGACACAGGTCCTTGAAAATTACAAAGTGAAGGGAGGTGGACTGCTGCTGCTCTCGACTAAAATGTTGGTCAAGACCTGTAGAAAATGTCTGCCCGAGACCTGTGACGTGCTGTGGGCATCATTAACAGTTTGAAAATAGGCTTTGTGTGTCTCACTGGCCAGGAAGTCTCTCACTCTCAAGCTGCCAGCCATTCGTATTGGCTGCACCTCCAATAGTGTCAGCAACTCCAGAGCTCAGTAGGAGGAGAGCAGGCAAGTCCACAAAGAGGACAGTAGTGGGTCCAGTACTGAGGTAAATGGTGGGCTATTGATCACAGGTGAGGCAATATTATGGAAGTGGTGCTGGAGTGGGTTTTCAAGTATAGATGGGTAAGAAGAAAGTTAGGGTACCATTTTATCAATGACACTTCCTTTCTATCATTTAAAAAATGCTTTTCAAAAAGACCTACCTGCACCAAACATTTAATGACATGAGTAGGGAAATTTTGGGATTAGTTGAGCTTTTAACAAACTAAATTAACCCTTAGTTACTTATTCATGTATGGTAAATGTTCTGTTGATTTCAGCACCCATGATCCCCCCGACCCCCTCTATTATGGAGGTGAGCTTAGAGATGGATGTCAGAATGGGGGATGGGCACTCACTCTACTTTGCATGCCTGCTCACCCTCTGGCCAGAATCTCACTCTATGGAAGCAAATAGTATCCACCCCAAGACTTCCTTTGACAGTGGAGACTTCAGTCTCAGTCATCAGGATATTCAATGAGCAATTCTTTCTCTTTTCAATAGATTTGCTTTAGAAAATATGTCAGGAACAATCCTTCCCTCAGACATTTTTCTTAAATATTAACTTTTCACTTGAATGACTTACAGACCTTTTCTGAAGTCTTACCAAGCATCATAAAGGTCTCTTTCTCTTCAGCCCTTTGCTACCTTGCAGTGCTCAGTAAAATGGCAGCTTTAATATGTTCTCAGAAAAATAAGTACAGTCATAACTTTAGTGAATTCATTGCATCCTAACTGAGTTTATTCTTCATTTATTTTCTGACAGACATTAGATTACCAGAATTGATATGGGAACTAATTTTTGTATTGTGGTTACCAAAATAATTAATATCGTGCTAAATTTCACCTGCCAAAAATTATACTATAATGCATATACAAACCAAAAACAGCATAAAACTGTACACAAGGCCAAGAATTGCATAATTACTATTTTATCGTTACAATATTTGGCTTTTTAATGAATAAAATATACCTGGATATTGTCTACATATTGTATAACTACCACTGTAATATCTGCAAGAGGGTAGCTTGGTGGAACAGAGGTGGGCTGGTGTGGTGTGAGAACTGTTGGCATATTTTCAGCTCCAAAACTTGGGTATAGACCAATCAGAATCAGAAAGCTGACCAAATGAAGTCTGCTAATATTGTCCTTGAAGAGTGCTTGGCTGAATCAAGATGAGAGTTCACAGAGAGTTCACTGCTATTGCTCAGCATTTTCACTTCCTGCGTGAAATTTACACAACTTGACAATTTGTATCAGATCTGCTGTCTCCAAGTGTTTCAGTTCATCTTCGACAGGATTGGCATATTATGTCACTATAAAAAGACAACACCCAATTTAAATCCCAGGATCTTCCTGAAGTAAGTACCCTTATATCTACAATGCTCAGGAAAATAAGAAATATAGACCATTATTTTAATTGGCCAGCATCAATGTATGTAAGAGAACATTTGATGAACACTGAAACCTGTAACAATTGTGGACCATTAACGGCACGGTGAGGTTGTTATCCTGGTACACGTAGTGCCAGTAGAATGGTAGGTCATGGAATATAACAAAAGCACCAAGTGCTGGGGAAACTCGGCAGGTCTAGCAGCATAGAGTCATACAGCAAGGAAATAGGCCCTTCGGCCCAACAGATATGTGCACACCAAGTTTCCTGAACTGAACTAGACCCATTTGCCTGCAATTTTGCCCATATCCCTCTAAACCTTTTATATCCATGTACCTGTCCAAATGTCATTTCAATGTTGTAATTGTAGCTGCCTCTATTACTTGCTCTGGCATCTTGTTCCATACACACACCACCCTCTGTGTGAAAAAGTTTCACTTCATGTCCCTTTTAATCTTTTCCCTCTCACCTTAAACCTATGCTGTCTAGTTTTGGATTCCCCTTGCCCTGGCGAAAGACCTTGGCAATTCACCTTATTTATGCCCCTCATGATTTTGTAAACTTCTATAAGATCACCCCTCAGCCTCCTACACTCCAGGGGAAAAAATGTCCCAGCCTATTCAGCCTCTCCTTATAATTCAAACCTCCAAGCCTTTGTAACATCCCTGTTAATCTTTTTTGCATCCTTTCCAATTTAATGACATCCTTCTTATAGTAGGGCAACCAGAATTGTGTGCAGTGCTCCAAATGTTGGAGTATATTTATAGAGAGAACAAAGTTAATGTTTTGAGTCCAACATGAGTTTTGTTGGAACTGAAGCTGAGAAGTGAGACATAAAGGTATTAACTATGTTTCACAGGTAGGCTGTTTGAATAGAAAATTCTATCATCACTCAATATTTTCACCCCTCTCTTTGCAGTTGGCCAGTCTGTAATATTGGCCAGGGGTGGGTCTTCCTTTCCATCCAAGAAATGGTGGACAGCAGAGAAAATCAATGAGAAAAATTTCCCATTGTGTGAGAGTATATAAGTGTCCTGTTTAAGGATTAAAGTCAAAATCAATTTGTGTGAAAATAAAATTTACACATGAAGAAATTAAGTGAACAGTGCCGATTCGAAAATGTCATCCCACTACATTGAAAAAGTATTGGTTTCTCTTCACAAATATTATTGCTTTATTTTAGCTGTGGAACCCCAATAATATCTTATGCGATTTGCAGTAGGTTTAAAATTTTTTTTTAATTGAAAATATTTAGTGGATTGTAGCAAGAATTTGCAAAATTTATTTAATACTGTTGTCAAAGCATCATTCTACTGGTTCATGTTTTATCAGTTAAAATGTATCCATTTTAAAATGTATGAAACTTGGTTGGTATTTGGACACACATTTTATATCAATGCACCTATTGACCGCACAATATGGCAACTCAGTTCTGTTTTGGTTAAGTAACTTTACTGAAACTCCATGAGGATTTTGTTTTTCAGATGTGGCAGCTTTCAGAGTTTGAGCTTCTGCTTTGATGCTTCTCGTGCTGTCAGCTCTCTGTGCATTAGATAAAATTCAAGAATGTAGTAAAATTTAACTTGGAAGTCCTATGAGGCATGTGGTTTCTTTGTTTCCTGTGTAATTAGGTACTGGGAGGAAAAAAATAGTTCTTATCCTGTGCCGCATTGCACTTCATGGCTCAGTCAGTCAGTTCTGACTTGGAGAGTATGTGTAACATGATAAGAGGATTAATAGAGAGATTTCTTTTCAAGGAAAAGATACAAGGCTTCATATTCCCAGCAATAACATGCAAAATGCAATATCAGTATGACTAAAATATCAACAGAGATGTCATACTAGAATCGCAGTAAAATGTTAAAAAGTGCAAGGCCCAGAGCTTGGCAGGCTCCTCAGTTATAGTCCCAATCTCAGTGAAACTGGCAGAACAAATTTGAACATCTGTATGCAATTTACCTCATGACACATCAGATCGACACAATAAAAAAGTAAATATTTTTGACTATATTAAGATATTCAGCCTCAAAGAATAAATGTTTGTACTTATAAATGTTTTCATAGATGTTATTGTTGCTTTGCAAAATGAGCCACATGAATAAAATTCAAAGGCTGAAGGAGTCAATTCCTCATTTTTAGTAGTATTTTGCCTTGTAGTCAAATAGTCTTTGGATTTTCCAGTGTAAACCTAATCTTCAGTAAAATATGACTGATTAGGTATTTTTAAGAAGGATATGTTTGGAAATAGCAGTTCACAGAAATTTTTTTTAAAATTAAGAAAATTTTTAAACCAGCTTGTTGGCTTTGGTTGGTATATTCACAGGAAGTGCAACTGTTGACCGTGAAGATCTCTCTCCATCATTGGTAGAAGACATACGGAATTATTTCCAAGTGAGCCCAGAGTATTTCTCAATGTTACTGGTTGGGAAAGATGGAAATGTCAAGTCATGGTATCCAACTCCGATGTGGAACATGGCTATAGTTTATGACCTTGTTGACTCCATGCAGCTTCGACGACAGGAAATGGCCATTCAACAGTCTTTGGGTATGCGTTGCCCAGAGGATGAATATGGATATGGTTACCATGGTTACCAAGATGGATATCATCAACAGGGTCACTATGGTGGATACCATTACTAAAAGTAATAAATTGTGTCATTTTGGTTTAAATGCTGCAAACAACAAGGACTAAATTTCAAAAACAATCTATAAACCACATTGGATACCAAATGGAGCTACAGCAATTGAGAAAAATGTTCATTTTTTTGTTATATTTGGAAATGCTTAAAGACTAATCACTGAAAGCTGTACTGACTTAAAGAACAACCTGTAGTTTTGGAATCGATATTATAGTCAAGATTTTTGCGAGAACTTTTGTGCAACTGATGCTTATCATGAAAATTGAGCATATTCATAATTTAGAGGTGCTTGTTTGATTTATCATATTTATTGTGTATCAAAGGGAGAAAGACTTGCATCACCTATAAGGAACCAAATAGAAATAGTCACACCATGTACACATCAGATTCCAAGAGAATATTAAGAGAAAATTTCCTTCCTAATCAACAGTATGTAAAGATATATCTACACTGAAACTAAAAAGCCAAAGGATTTTAACAAAAATGAATCTAGTTTTAGTACCATCTATTCTGATGCTGCAAAATGCTGCAGCAGAACAAGAATGTTTACAAAGTAGAAGATGCAAGTCATTTGAAAAGTACATTTGAAATTAGCCTTATAATAGTTATAGAAACACTTTTTGATAAATGCAGTAACTGCAACTTGTTTTAATCTCACCAAGGAGGATCTGAACATAAACTGTGTACCATGCTGTCAGTTTGTATTGTAATGGTGAGTAAAGTTTGAAGGGCTGTAGTCATGTTGTACCTCTGACCCTGCACTGCATCTAACAAATAAATTCCTTTATAAGGAAATGGCTAAACAAAGCATGGGTAGATCAATATTTTGGGTACAGCCTCTTGTGTGGATTAAAACTGCACTTGGGTTGGCGTAGATTCAACACAGAAGGAGGCCATGTGTATGAAGGGAGGGTTCATTCTGTGTTTTCAATTTATTGGGTGGACCGGAAACAAATGTTCACTTTTATTCTAAAAAATACACATATTGTTACAATTAGAAGTTTAGTCCTAGCCAATTTTGCTTCCTCAACCAATGTCATTAAACTTGATTATTTGGTCAGTATAACTTTAAAATAGTGTTTGTGGAACCCTGCTGTGCACTTATTCTTTGCTATGTTTCCTCCAGTTACAAGAGTGACTGTCTTTCTAAAGTACCACATTGGCTGCAAAGTGCTTTGCGAGATTCTGAAATTATGAAATGTGCTATATTAGTGCAAGTGTTTATTTGTGTGCGTTGCTGTCAAGTTATGGAGATGAGTTAAACTAACATTTCTCACAGACATTCAGAAAGCTATGGCTCAAGTATAGGGAAGAAGATGTGTTTGTAAAGCTCAGTGGCATTGTTGCACAATATATTATGGTGCATAACCATTTTTAGTCACAAAAGTTGGTTTTTAAAACAGATATAATTCAAAACTTTATGTGGTATTGAATAAATGTGTCGGATAAATTCCAGAGAATATTTAGTAGGCAAGTGTGTCTACTGTACACCATTCAATGACCTTAGCATTAGTTAGATTTTAAGTATGTATGAATTGTAGAAAACAAGCACTGCTTTCAGTTTTATCAGTTACAGTGTCCCACTAATTGAATTCCTGGTCAACTAGGATGTTAGTTTTAGACACAATTTATGTTTTCCTTTCACTTCATATCAATGTATTATTCTGAATTGTTAAAAAAGACTGGATTTTTTTTGTTTAGGGAAACAATAATAACACCAGCAATTGTTTAACTGAATTGTGCAATTATTTCATTGGAGTGGTACAGTAACACTGGTGTAAAGAAAATTCCTGACACTTAAATATATATTTTTCTTCACAGTAAAATAGAAAATGCTACAATTTATGTAGTGGTTCCATTTAGTAGTTGACCAAGGAAATGGGATGTTAGTGTTTTAAATAGACACCAGTTACAGAATCATAGAGTCATGCAGCATGGAAACACCAACTAGTCCATGCCAGTCATATTCCAAAACTAAACCAGTTCTGGTTGCCTGAATTTGGCCCATATCCTTCCAAACCTTGCCTATTCATGTACTTATCCAAATGCCTTTTAAATGTTGTAACTCTGCCACTTCTTCTGTCAGTTCATTCCACACACGAACTACTCTCTTTGTAAAAAAGTTACCCCTCATGTCCTTTTTAAAACTTTCTGCTATCAACTTAAAAATATGCCCCCTATTTTTGAACTCCCTGATCCTAGGGAAAAGACCCTTGCTATTAACCTTGTTTATACCCCTCACGATTTTATAAACCTCTATGAGGTCACCCCTCAACCTTCTACGCTCCAGTAAAAAAAAATCCCGGCTTATCTTTATAACGCAACTCATCCATTCCCAGCAATATCCTGGTAAATCTTTTCTGAACCCTCTCCAATTTAATAATATCATACATACAGCCAGGTGATCAGAACTGTACACAGTACTCTAACGCCTCACCAACATCCTGTACAACCTCAACATGACGTCCCAACTCCTACATTCAAAGGTGTGAGCAATGAAGGCAAGCATGCTAAACGCCTTCTTAACCACCATCTTCATGTGACAACTTTCAAAGAATCATGTACCAGAACCTCCAGTTGTCTCTGTTCTACGACATTATCTAGCCCTATCATTAACTGTATAAGTCCTGCCCTGTTTGTTTTGCAATATCTCACATTTATCCAAATTAAACTCCATCTGCCATTCTTCAGCCCATTGACCCAAATGATCAAGATCTCTTTGCAATCTTAGATAACCTTCTTCACTGTCGACTATACCAGCAAATTTTGTGTTGCCCACAAACTTACTAACCAAGTCTCCTAAACTCTCATCCAAATCATTTATATAGATGACAAAAAAAACAGTGGACCCGGTACTGGTCCCCACGGAACACTGCCAGTCACCAGCCTCTAGTCTGAAAAACAACCCTCCAACACTACCCTCTGTCTCTTACCGTCAAGCCAACTTTGTATCCAATTAGCAAGCTTTCCCTGAATTCCATGTGACCTAACATTACTAACTGGTCTACCATCAGAACCTTGTCAAGGCTTTACTAAAGCCCATGTAAACAATGTCTACCACTCTGCCCTTGTCAATATTTCTGGTTACCTCCTCAAAAAACTGAATCAATTTTGTGAGACACCATTTTCCTCACAGAAAACAATGATGGCTATCCCTAATCAGTCCTTGCCTCTCCAAATGCATGTAAATCCTATCTTTCAGAATCACCTCCAACAACCTTCCCACTACTGATGTCAGGCTCACAGGTCTGTACTTCCCCAGGCTTCTGCTTACAGCCTTTCTTAAATAAAGGCATAGCATTAGCCACTCTCCAGTACTCCAACACCTCACCTGTAGTTATATATTGTACAAATATCTCTTCTAGGCACCCTGCAATTTCTTCCCTAACTTCCCACAACATCCTGGGAAACAGTTGATCAGGTCCTGGAGATTTGTCCACTTTTATGTTTTCTGAGACCTCCAGCACTACTTCTTCTGTAATGTAAATGGTTTTCAAAACATCAATGTTTATTTCCCCGAGTTCTCTTGCCTCCATTTCTTTATCCATAGTAAAAACTGATGCAAAATATTCACTTAGTATCGCTCCCATCTCCTAAGGTTCAACAGATACACAACCTTATTAATCTTTAAGGGGCCCTATTCTTTGCCTAGTTGCTCTTTTGCACTTAGTGTACTTGTAGAATCTCTTTGGATTATTCTTTACCTTATCTGCCAATGTTGTCCCATATCCCTTTTTTGCCCTCCTGATTTCCCTGTTAAGAATGCCCTTACACCCTTTATACTCTTCAAGAGATTCATTTGATCCCAGTTATCTATTTCTAAAATATGACTTTTTTTTTATTCTTGACCAGAACCTCAATATCTTTATTCATCCATTTTTCCCTACTCTCACCAGCCTTACCTTTCACTCTTAACAGGAACATAATGACCCTGAACTCTCGTTATCACACTTTTGAAAGCCTCCCACTTGTCAGATATCCCGTTGCTCCAAACAATCTACTCTAATCAACTTTTGAAAGTTCCTGTATCATACCATTAGAATTTGCCTTACTCCAATAAAGAACTTTAACTTTTCTGGAAACCCTATCCTATTCCATAACTATTTTAAAGCTAATAGAATTATGAACACTAGACCCAAAGTTTTCCTGTACTAACACTTCAGTCACTTGCCCTGCCTTATTTCCCAAGACAGAGTCAGGTTTTGCTCCTTCTCTAGCAGGTACATTTACATATTGATAAAAAGTATTATCTTGGACAGCTGTAACAAATTCCTCACCATGGAGCCACAGTCAATGTTTGGTAAATTAAAATTCCCTTGTATTACAACCATGTTATTCTTACACCTATCTGAGATGTCTCTATATATTTGCTCCTCAATTTCCCTCTGACCATTGGATGTCCTATAGAACAGTCCCATCAAGGTGATCATCCCTTTCTTATTTCTAATTTCTACCCATATACTTTTGCTGGACAATCCCTCAGAAGTATCTTCTCTAGTTACAGCAGTAATGTTTTCCTCAATCAAAAATGCCACTTCCTCTCCTTTCTTGCCTCCCTTTCTATAGCATCTAAAACCCGGAAGACTGAGCTGCCAGTCCTGTCCTTCCCTCAACCAACTTTCTGTAATAGCTATGACATCCCAGTCCCATGTTCCTGCCCTGAGTTCATCAGCCTTACCTGAAAGGCCCCTTGCATTGAAGTAAATGCAGTTTAATTCTTCAGAGTTACCACATCCTCTGACTCACTCTTGTCTGTCTTTTCTAATTACCTTGTTCTTTTTTGATTCACAACCATCTTCATCTGCCTTTACTTTTTACTGCTATTTAGGAAATTCCACACCCCTTCCCTACTAGTTTAAAGGCTCCCAAAATAGAACTGGCAAATCTCCCCACCAGGATGAAAACTAAAAGAACTGTGGATGCTGTAAATCAGGAACAAAAACAGAAGTTTCTGGAAATGCTCAGCAGGTCTGGCAGCATCTGTGAAGAAAAAAAATCAGAGTTAACGTTTCGGGTCAAGTGACCCTTCCTCAGAACTGTTCGCAGATGCTGCTAGACCTGCTGAGCACTTCCCACCAGGATGTTGGTCCCTTTCCGGTTCAGGTGAAACCCATCCCTGTTGAACAGGTCAGAGATAGTAAGAACTGCCGATGCTGGAGTCAGAGATTACACAGTGTGAAGCTGGAGGAACACAGCAGGCCAGGCAGCATCAGAGGAACAGGAGGGACCCTTCTTCAGAAATGGGCTATTCTACCGCAGAAGAGATCCCAATGATCCAAAAATCTGAATCCTTGCACATTGCACCATCTCTTCAGCCAATGATTTATCTGCTCTATCTTTTTATTCCTGCTCTCACTTCAGTGTAGAACCAGGAATAAATAAGAGATTAATACCTTTGAGGCTCTGCTTTTTAATCTTCTACCTAACATCCTATATTCACTCTGCAAAGCCTTAACCCTTTCTGTAACTATGCCATTCTTACCAACATGTGCAACAACTTCTGGTTTCTTACTCTCCACCTTTGACAATATGCTTCAAATGTTTTGAGACATCCTTAGGACTGGCACGAGGATTACAACATACTATCCCAGATTCACGCTCGCATCTGCAGAATCTCCTGACTGTGCCCCTGACAGGAGAGTCCCCTCTAACAATTATTCTTTTAAATCTTGAAAAACCCTGTTTAACATAACATTCATTCTTAGTGCCCAAGATCTGACTGTCGCTTTCATTTTCCTCTGAGAGACTATCCCCTTTAACAGTACCCAAAATGGAATATCTGCATGAGAGAGGAATAGTCACAGGAGACTGTTGAACTTCTTACCATTTCCAACAGTAACCCATCTATCTGACTGCTCCTGCTGTGTAATCACATCTCTAAATCTACTAATATTCACGCTGTGTCTCCTATATGCCGTCAGTGAAATTAAACCTAAAAAGAAGTTCTTAATGAATCTTTAAATCCTCTATCAATCAGCTTTCAAATCTGCAGGTCTGAGAAAAGAAATGCCAATCCCTGATCCCCGTCATTATTTAAACAACTACAACAAACAAGTTGAAACGGAAAATCTTCAGAGTTCCATCAGTACAGACAGAAAAAAATCTCTCTCCAGATTCGTTGACACTTGACAAACACATGGACTGGCCTCTCCCACAAACTCCATGTGAGAAACAATGGCTCCTTCTTCATGTTGTTTTCTTCGCAAATAATTTTTTGGGCAATAGAAGTTCCAAAAATAATTTTGAATGAAAATTTTCTGCTTCTGCAATATAAAAATAAAAGGAATGCCTACAATTCAGAAGCAGCTGAAAGATCCACACTATTCTCATTTTTTCATCTGAAGATTCTGATGAAAGGTCTTTGTTCAGTGGTTGAAAGTCTATTGTTTTGTCTTTATGAAAGTTGGATATTTCTAGTATTTATTATTTCAGTATTTGCACTTTTCATCCATACTCCTCTTCATATTTGGGGTTGGCTCAACTCTGAAAAATAAATATGACCCTCTCATTGTTCCCTTCAGGATAAGCTACTGTTCCTTATTGTAAACATTGCCCTAATTCAACCAAATAGTGCTTAATCTACTTTGGACTTTATAGCCTTTAAAATCTATAAGATTAAAAAAAAATGCACGAAGCAGAAGATATCAATCTAACAATAAACACACGCATTGTTTTTTTGATTTGGATGTTGAATTGCTCTTTTCTTATCCAAAGAGCATAACCTCTGTAGTC